ATGTTAAAAACGGTGTTGCAGGTCTAGCTGTGGTCTGTCGCAACAGTAGGGGTATTCTTGTTGATGGTTTGGCCTTCAAACAATCAATTAGTTCTGTTTTAATGGCTGAAACTCTTGCATTAAGAGCTACAGTAGGCTGGGCAGCTAGGAATGGCCTCAAAGACATCATTTTTGAATCGGACAGCAAAGAGCTCGTGCAAGCTATTAACAAAAAGGTTCATTTGCCTTGGCAAATAGAGCCATTGGTGCTATCCGTGTGGGAGCTGTGCAAATCTTTCTCCTTTTGTGAATTTAACTATGTATGCAGGAAGGCTAACTCTGCAGCTGATTGGGTGGCCAAAAAGTGCCTTAAGAATTTGTGTCCTCTCTACTGGACCACCAATCCACCTACAATGCTACGTAATCTTTTGCGTACTGATGTAAATTATTAATTAAATAATACAAATTCTCATGCATGTTCAAAAAAAAAAAAATTACATAATAAAAAATAATTAATTTTTATCTATTAACTTATTTTATGTGCATCTTTTTTTTTTTTGAACAATTTATAATTATTTACAGGGTTAATTGAGGAAAGGGGAAAAATGGTTTCGTGAGGTTCGAATGTGCAACTCACGTAGCTGAACAGCGCTAACCCAGGGTCCGATGCCACTTAACCGGAGTGGGTCATCCAATTTTATGTGCATCTTGAAGTAAAAAAGACAAATCTTATTATGACATATGTAAGTTAACTTGTAGATATACCTCACCGTCTGCTTTAAAAGTAAGCCAGAAACTCTTTCAATCAATGCCTCTTTTACAGGAGATGAAAGTTTGACTTGTTTGTTCAATCAAACTTTCAAGAGGACACAGTAACTTAAATTTGTGTAGGCCATTTATTATTCCATGTTAAAAGAATGTAGAAAGAAAGAGATGAAGAACATAATTGGATGCCTCCCTTTTTTCTTCCTTTTTTTAAAGGATAATTAATAAAAAATTTCTTATTACTAACAATGTATTCAACAATATCGGCAGACGTTTTAGGAGCACAAGACTTGAACCTACACCACACAAAAAACTCAAAACTCAAACATGCATATTTGTGATAGAGCAGTGCTAGGGGCACTCGCCTCTTGCACTCTCCGGCCAACACTTCCCTTTTCATTGGGCCACGTAAGTTTGTTCAGCTTTGAAATGCAGCCTCTGACCGACAAGAATAACGTGGCCCAATAAAAGTGAAAGTGTTGGCCGGAGAGTGCAGAAGGCGAGTGCCCCTAGCACTCCTCTTTGTGATAACATGAAACTCATAATTTGTAGGGCCCAGACCCATATACTCCTCCCCGTTAGATTTAGTTGTTTTATTTGGATTTTTTTAATAAAATTTGATTAAATAAATTTATATAATAAATAGATAAAAATTAAAAAACTTTGTCTTTCTATTTATAATTTTTGTTGAGTATCTTCACTTAAATCAATTTTTTTTAATTATTATTCATTTACCATACAACAAGTTAATTTACAAAAAATTGAGAGTGTAGGATAACTAAAAATTACAGGAGGGAGTAACTCTTTGTAATCTAATTTAATAAACTCAAAATATATTTCTATGGTTAGATATTTCACTGGTAAACAAATATCATCTTTTAAATCAAGTAGAAGGTTTAACTTTTAAGACAATTAAATGCAACGAAATTAATTTTTTAAAATACAATAAGTTGATGTGGGATGCACTCTTAATATTGCTACAAAGAAATTAGTTTTGAGCAGTGTGCAATATAGATAGCATGAGGACCATGACCGTCCAAAACAAAAATAATTAACAAATTACAATATAAAAAACCAGATAACTTTCTATAATCTAAATTCATAAATATTAATTAACTCGTATATTTATTTGGGCATTTCTTTGGGTACATAGAGGCAACACTTATGCCTTGCATATGTCTATATATCCACTTATTTAGCCATACAACAAAATTAAACAATTTAAATGCCCTTATTTTTCCTACTTAATTAAAATTGACTGGATATTTAAGCTGCTTGTTTGGAGAAAACAGCCCCCAGTGTTTTTCATACTCCGGTTCCTTGTTATTCTCATCAAACATGGCAAAAATGTATGTCTCGATGGGCTTTCCAGGCTTCTTCGGAGTCCCTCCCTTCACATGTTGAATCAGATTGTTGTTATAAGTCCTTGCATTATCAACCGTCGTCGCCGTTCCACCGGCGGTAGGCCAGCCACTCTCTGATACAACAATCTCTAAATTGCCTCCACCGGACTTCTCAAGCGCAGCATAGACTGCGTCAAGAATTGCATCGAAAAGATTATGGTACTGTAGAGACCCGTCTGGCACCACTGGCGCCGGAGTCGCGAAGAGGGCGTAATTAAGGGAGATGTCCTTAGTGTTGCCAATGTAACTGAAGTAAGGGTACAAGTTGACCAGCAATGGAGCTTGTGTGTTCACCAAGAAACGGATTACAGGGTTGAGAATCGGCATATATTCGCCCTTGAAAGACCCACTGGACGGAGGGAAAGATTCTCCGAGAGTCCCGGTGTCGATAGCCGTGGAAACTTTGATTCCAAGTCCGGCAGCCACAAGTGCATTTCGGATGTTCTGCATGGCGGGGACTAGAAACTGTGCAAAAGAATCCGAGGGCTTAACTTCGTTCCCGACCGCTATATAGCGGAACTTAACGTTAGCGTAGTTCTTGACGTTGTTTTGGACCCAAGCGTTGGCATTGTCCTGGCTGGCGGCGATGAGTTGGAGATCGGTGTTGGGGACGCCCAGCATGACCTCAATGTTGGTGCCTCGGAGGGCTTGGAGCGCAGCTTGATCCGGGTTGTAGAGTCTCATCCTTCGGATGTTGTATTGGTTGTAGAGAGCTATGACTTGTGGGGGGGACGGTAAATTGTTGCCAAGCATGCCATAGCAAACACCAATTTGGGCACCTGCATAAGATTGAATTCAGCAACAACTTATATAATTAACCATTAATTTAATTTTTCTTAAATTAAATTTAGGTTGTGATTAATCTAGTATTGTTAAAATTTAAAGAATATAAATTAAAAACAAAAAATAACAACATGCATAGAAATGTTAAATAATAAGGTTTTGTTTAGTATGGTTATAAGTTATTAGTTTTGATTGGTACTCCCTCCATCCCAATATAATTGTTATTTTATATTTTTTTCCCAAATTAAAAATTATAAGATAATTTTTGTATTTATCTATGATACTTTAAAAAAGAAATAAAAGATAAAAGAAAAACTTTTTGTGATTAGATAATTAATTAAGGTGAATGGACAATAATAAGATCAAAATAAGAAATAAAAATTTGTTTATCTTAAAAGATGAAAATGGAAAACTAAAATTTAAAAATAAAAATACCAGCTTATTGAGTATAAACTTTTAGTACTAATACCTAAAACTAAAAACTTAATTAATTTATAAAACTTATTAATTTTATTTTAGGATATCTAAATTTTTAAAAAGCAAAACAAAAATGAAAAAGTATAATCATATTAAACGGAGGCTAATTTTCTTTGTTCAATGAAAAATCAAAACAGATATATAGAGTGAGAGGTTACTTGTGGTAGAGAGGACGGCCATTAGAAGGCTGAAGAGGAGCATTGTTGATGCTATGAAACCATGTTTACTGGCTGAGGATAGTATCTTAGCCATGATAACTGAAAGAGAGAAAGCTATATCTATTGATCAAAGGAGGGATGCAGTGCCACACACTTCTTAGCTTACCTTATATAGGCCTAATTTGGTGGAAAAGTCTTCCACAATTAATGAAAGCGTGCGTCATTCAAAGTACTAGAAAATTTTGGAGAAAAGGGAACTAGCAAAGAGATGTTTTACTTCCTCCCTTTAGTCCCGATGTAAATAATTTATCTTTGACGAGAAAGGAAGGATTAGAACTGAGGTAGCACCAAGATTGAAAAAAAAAAAAATAGTTGAGGTGGCACAAATTCATTT